ATATATCAGTCACTGACTTTTAATTTTTAAATCATACTTATAAAAGTCATTTGCATAAGTCGTAACTTTAGATGAATCATTAAGAATATATTTTAAGGTTTTTGAATAAGGTTTCCCCTGTATAAAAAAGTTAATTTGAATTTTGTCGTTTTACCGCCATGCGGTTTCACTAGTAATTTATAATCTCTTACAGGTACTCACGAGGATGCCATGTACGGCACGAAATTGGATACTATACGCCGCATACACACCGAAGGCAAAATGGCTATATTGGATGTTGAACCACAAGCTTTGAAAATTCTACGTACTGCAGAGTTCACGCCATACGTAGTGTTTATTGCGGCGCCGTCATTACAAAATATTGCTGATGTGAGTTGAAGTCTACAAACAAATAAATATAAAATGAAAATTCTCATACTTTGCTTGTATTTGTATGTACATTGCAGTACGATGGCAGTTTGGAGCGGCTGGCTAAGGAGTCCGATATGTTACGTCAATTGTATGGACATTTCTTTGATTTGACGATTGTAAACAACGACATTAGCGAGACAATTGCTACGCTGGAAGCGGCCATCGAACGCGTGCACACCACTCCACAATGGGTGCCAGTTTCATGGCTATACTGACAAGACAGTGAGCTTGAGTGTCCCGACTGCTTGGAGGGCTGTGACTGTGAATGGGAAGCATACGCAGCCGGTGCCCAACAACATAATGCGGGCCTCTTTTGAACTAAGTATACCAACAATGAATATGCATTACATTTAGAACAGCATCGCTAAAAAAGAAAGAAAAAAAAGAAGAAAAACATCACTGATATGAACTAACGTGCAAGCGTGCAAAAGTATACTGTGAAATTGAAAAAATAAATGCAATATGGCAAGATGTTGAACTAATATGGCAAAAGTGAAATGTTCAAGCGTAAAGACATATTTACTTGCGGCAGTGCACAAAGTGACACAAGCAAATATACACACGAAACATACACAAACTCCATACACTAGTTCGTAGAAAAATTTATAAAT